GCTATTTGGCTCCGAAAGAACGTGTTACAAAATATTGAGCTTAAATATGTAAAGCTGTCCTTATGGCGAAAGGCCCTGTCGGTACACCCTTTAAGGTGGCTCGACTGGGTTTTGTTTGTGGCGTACCTTCGAAGTTTGAAGGGGAAATTTCTATGAGCTAACAAATAACAAAGGACTTGTCACACGACTATCTAGTACTCTCGTCAGTTAAACTTTATTTAGTAAAATATTCTTTTTGTCTTTAGAATGGTATAGTATCAAGTATATATGAAATTGCAATCACAAATCATCATAGTCGGAAGGGTTTCGGATATCATGTAAAACTTGAATCTATCTCTAGACATGTCATAATAATTTATTTGAAATTAACTTATTGGCAGCGACGCATTTCCCCTTCAAACTTCGAAGGTACGCCACAAACAAAACCCAGTCGAGCCACCTTAAATCTTTCTACTGCAAGTAGTACATAGTACTTACATACGAGTTACGCCACTTATTGCAAATAATTTTAAAAATCAGCGCTTACCGCGGCCAGTGTGGTGCCAGTTCTTTGCTGTCACGTAAAACAACACAGCTGAAAGAATGATAACCTTGCAATGCAGTAAAAAAGCCATTATCGAACGCAGCATTAAAAGTCACCGAAGACTATGACTCCAACGTAAACTAGCTTCGCTCGACGCTAGGCTTTGCCAACTAATCCACATAGACTTCTTACATATAGTTTTATAGATGCTCTTACAATAACAGTTAGTTATGTTTCCATGGGTGAAAATTATAAACATGACAGTAGTGTACTAAAAACCTAGCGGGGRAAAAATTGAATTAAAAAAAGATAGTTATTAAAGAACAATGTCGTGGTGGGAGGACAACGGAGAATGCTATAATAGGAACGGAAAGTTTCACTTTTTTATTATATTTTATTTTTGGTAAGAAAATACCCAAGACTGATTTAGGGRAAAAATTCTACGATGGCTATTACAAGTTGGGCTTCCTGTGGATTTGCCAAGAACTTTGGCGCCAAAATAACGCGCGCGTGCTCCCCTTCTACCCCCTCCCCCCTACGTATACATACCCATTTTGCACTTTCGAGTTACTTGTGTGACAAACATAAGATATTTGTGTTATTCCAAAGGCTTTTATAATCTATGAATTTTTTTTTTTTTWWAACTTGTATTGTTGGATTTAATTTACACTGATAGTTTTCTTGTTTGGTATGTTTAAATCGTTTCGTGATCAATGTCGTCCCAAAACTATAAAAATGAATATTGCTTTTCAATAGCTAAAAATCTTAATTTGTTTTGCTAACAGTTACGGATAAAGCCCTTAACCTTAACTATATCCTAGAATGTGCTTCATTGGAGGCAGAATTATGAAATATTCGAAAAACCATACTGTACTGGTAAATTAAGTTTCATTGCCTTTTCTAGGGCATCTTATCTTCGAGTCCAAATATCAAAAATCAAGCTTGCTCAAGCTTATTTAAAGTTTTAGAAACTTTTCACCGGTAGTGGCTTCATTACTTATTTAGARGTAATTTCATAATATTATCGGACTTTCACGCTATACAGAACTAATTTGAAAAGAGTAAACAATGTATCATTTATCATAGAAATACCTAAGGAGAATTGGAACTACGTAGGAATACACCGACTTTAAACTTAAACTGATTCCCAGTTTGAGAAACGAAAGACTCCCTTCTGTTGAGGATAAATCTTGTTTGTGTTTAAGATATTCGACAATGTTTTGATCAGTAGTGCYAGGGTGTCGTGGTTCTCTATAAGACTGAAAACAGTCGAGAAAACATTGAAAAGTCACGGAAACTTTAGCTCAATGCGTAGTTTGCCGAAGAAGTCTGAGTTTAATTACACCTGTCTGACACCCGTTGCTCATCTAATGCCTTCTGAATAACGCTTTTTTTAAARAGAAAAGAAAAAAACAGCTAGAAAAACAATTTCTTTGTTTGAAAAAGTGAGTGGTTCGCAATCYCAAACTGAATAAAAACATACGATTAAGCTTGTTAGGAAAGTGAGAGACGATAGAATAACACGATGAAACGCGTGGATTGTTAATATTTGAACTGATTGTCTCTAGCTTAGAATTTTTAAAACATTTTTAAGGACTTTTCGATCCGTGACCCTTCAGAAGTTAGCGAAAAAATGGGTAATAAAATAAAACCCAACWGGATTTTAACAATAATGTTTACTTAACAAGTTTAAAAGTGTGCGGGTTTTGATCCCACGGCTAGCGACATGCTGAATGCAAATGGCTTCTCTTCTCCTCTCTCGTATTGGCTTCACGAGCGTTTCTGTTCCATTTCTTTAATTTTACACTTTTTTTCTTTCAATAACAGCTATTTGAATCTAGAATCAAGATGAATGGTGATTCCGTATCCATGCGCAGATTTTTTTCCTAGCAACTTTTTTGTACAATCAAATATTCTAGGTGGTCCTGGTGGCCTATCCGAATTGTGGCCAGGTGAAACTCAAGGAATATATTACGCACTTCAACTCCATAGACCCCTTTCAAAATTATTCTGAATGCAAGGCGCAATAGCGAAGCGCAGCCATGACGTCATAAAAACGAAGACAAAGGCGAAATTCGGACAAACAAACTTACAAGTTTACTTTCAGCAGATACTTTTCACAGCCTATCGCAATTGATCTTAGTTTACATGGGTTATTATTGTAACTTTAAGTAAAAATAATAAAATCGATTCGTATAATCCTCGTAGCGGTTAAACCGAATGCAATGTTTGTCCGAATCTTTAAGCTATTTTTAGAATCAGCGCGCTGCGCTATTCCCATCGAGGACAACTGTGGAAATATGGTAACTTTCCCCTAACCCCCTCCACCCTTTAAAAAACCCTCATTCAACTTAACTTTTTGCTTTTGAATAACACAATTATGTAAGAAAAGTAAATAAACAGAAAAACCAAGTGGGGGGAGGGAGAATTCTAAACAGGGCCCGGTTGTACGAAGCCTGGATAGCGCTATCCAAAGGATAAATCTTACCCAGTGAATAAATGTATTGGATAACAGCTTCGATTTATTCAGTGGATAAGGATTTATCCACCGGATAGCGCTATCCAGGCCAACTGGGCCCAGGAGAGGAAAAGGCTTACATATGAAACCCAATTRCCTTAGGTGGAATAATGGACCGTTCTAATAAAGAAATTGGATGTGAGTCTAACATGAAAATAAAAAGAAATCACACTTTTTCTCGATGGAATTTGTGGCATTTCTTTCGTATTTTAATGTTAGCCTCGCATTCAAGACAATTTTAAGAAGGGTCAATATTCCATATCAATCTGACACTTACTCAAGAGAACATATTTAATGTGGAAGAGCATCAAACTAAAAAATATTACAAAGAATGTCTGTACAATACATAAAGTGATGCAGTGCTCAGGAAGCAAGGCCTATTGGATGCATGATACACAAAATAAAGTGTTTTCACTCACGTGACAATGCAGCCATATCGGTGTGCCAAACAATAAAAACTTTTTGCAGTCTTTACTAGACTTGGTCCAAGTCGACCTCTTTTGTCGTTTTTTATTCGAGCAAGTGGGAAATAGAGATCCATTCCCAGATGATAGAAAACGTATCGTTTTGATACACCAATATGGCCGCTGTGACTTCAAGTGAACACGCTCAATAATAAGACTCTAATTCTCCTTACATGGGTTTTTCATAGGAGAATATGGAGTTTGATCATATCTATTCTTAGTACAGATTATAAATACAATGTATACTATAACAAGCTGAATACAATTGTGTGTTTTCTAAATTTGTGTTAAAAAAAGAAAAGAAAAGAAAGAATTACAAAAATCCAATGTAGGAAACTCAGATTTAAAAGGAAGCCAGAAGTTCAAGTGAAAAACATATTTTACAAGGCTTAAATAGGCTTGATCTTAAAGTGTAGACCGATRAGTGAGAAGACCATACATTTCAGATCTTGTACAAGGTAGTAGAAGCATCGCAGTCCTTCTGGATCCCTGAAACAATTGAAATACTTTAGGCACAATCTCAAATCCCAACTTTTTTTTAGAAACAGAAAATCGAAATCAAATAAAATAAAAGCAACTTTGTTCATAGAGGATGAAACTTGACAGGAATGGCAAACTTAATGTCTTACTCAATGTTTTACCCAATTCAAATCTACTGGAAATACTTTTTTTTGTCTATTATATTTACATATCATATCCATATCAATGCTTCATTGCCATGTAAATATAATGGACAAAGAAAAGTATTTCCAGTAGATTTGAATAGACCTCTTCGGCTCTGACGTAATGTTTTCCCATTTCAGACCACGTGTCATTCCCTAGACAATCATTTGTTTAAGGTTTGTGCTCCGTTGCACGTGAGAAGATACATGAATATGGATACAACTCAAACAGAGAATATTATTCTCAAGTGAATGACACATGGTTTGAAATGTGACAACATTACGCTCGAGCGCTCCAGAGCCGAGGAGGTCTATTGGGTAAAACAATGCATTAGCTGAATAATTCTATTCAACTAATRAACTAGTGTTCTTGTAACATCTCTAGTTGATTAGGGATGGGACTGCAAAAACTCTCACCAACATTTTAAGAAACAAGGTGTTGCTCAATCCTCTAACCATCACTAACATGAAGACTAACACAGATAGTTGAATATTCTACTTACTTGCATTGRTTGATATCAACTAGTGAACCTATTTTGGATGTTGTGAAACAGATGTGTTGGTCCCCGTGCACTATTTCAAGTTCCTGGTATGAAGAAAAACAACATTGCATGTAATTCAAAGGATGCTTGATATGAAGATATAAAGCAAAGCAAAAAGAAAGCAGATCTGGTTAATGAT